AGGGTGTAGGGGGATTGTGAAGAAGGCATCTTTAAGATCTATAACTATAAAGTGAGAGGTGGAGGGAGGGATATGAGAGAGCATGGTATAGGAATTTGGCACCACTGGGTAAATCGGGGTAACAGCACTGTTAATTACCCTAAGGTCCTGTACCAGGCAATAGGACCCATCAGGCTTGAGTACCAGGAGAATGGGAGTATTGTGGGGTGAGTGGGTAGGTTTAAGAAAACCATTGTCTAAAAGCTGCTTAATTATGGATTTAAGTCCCCTTAAATGTTGGGGAGCTAAGGAGTATTGGGGAACACAGGGAATAATTGAGGGATCCCTGAGATGGATTAAAACAGGTGTGGCATGTGTAGCCAGAGTGGGATTGGATGTGTCCCAAACTATGAGGTCAACCAGAGAAGGAGGAAGAGGAGGGAATGGCTTTGCGCTGCATTGTGAGGCTGTTTAGAGGATTAGGGCTGTGGGGAAAGAGAAAGTGAAGGAAAAATTAAGCTTTTGAAGAAGGTCTGTACCTAAAAGGGATGTGGGACATGTTGAGATTACTAGGAAGCTATGGGTAAAGGAAAGAGTCTGGAATCTACATGGGACAGGCCCAGTCTGCAAAGGTTGATTAGACTGGCCATCAACACCCACAACAGAAATCAAGGACTTACTACAAGGTCCTGAAAATTCAGGAAGTACACTATAAGTCACCCCCATATCCACAAGCAGAGATATTATCTACCTGAGACCTCCAGTGAGACTCAGGGCTCCAACAAGGTTATCGGATTGGGGGCTGTGAGCCCTGAGCCCTGTCAATCTTCCGAAGCAAATCCAAGCAGGTCAGTCAGCGACGAATCTGGCATTGACAAAGTCTCCTGTGAGGGCAAGGGATTAGAGGATGGCTTACCTGCTCGCTGGCTGCTAGGACAGTCACTCTTCCAATGCCCCTTAAGGTTGCAGTATGGACAGGGTCCTAGAGGAATGCCAGGGTTAGGGCAATCTTTTGTCTAGTGTCCTTGTTTGCTGCATTTGAAGCACGGTCCGGGCAGGACTCGGGCAGCCACATCTTGTTGTGGATTTCTTGTCTGGGGAGCTCCGAGTGCCACTGCTAAAAGGTCAGACTGATATTTAGCAAACTTTAATTTTTGAGCTTGTTTCTCCTCTTTTTGAATCTTATCTCTGTTGTTGAAGGCACAGAAAGATAATTTAAGTAGATCCCCTTGTGGAGTTTGAGGGCCACGTTCAACCTTTTGTAATTTTGCACGAATATCAGGAGCAGACTGGGAAATAAAATAATAGTTAACAACAATCATCCCTTCATGAGAGTCTGGGTTCACATTAGTAAACTTAATTAAGGTTTCCCAAAGCCAATTTAAGAACACAGCTGGATTTTCATTAGCCTCCTGGACCTGTTCTAAACATTTGTTATAGTTAGTATGTTTGTGAGCAATCTTATTAAGGCCCACAATCAGACACTCAATCATCTTATGTAATTTTGTTGAACCATGTCCATTTTGATAGTTCTAGTTAGGATCTTGTTCTGGCACAGCTACAGGCCCAGGGTCATTGTCAGTGGTGTTTGCCTTATGTCTGTGGTCAACTTTTTCTCGAGCTGCTTGCCACAGCTGATTTTGCTCTTGTGACTTGAGAGTGGTATTTAGAATCACATAAACATCCTTAAAATGTAAATCATAACAATTAGTAATAAATTCAAATTGCCTGATATAATTTTGTGGGTCAACAGAGAAGCTACCTAATTTATGGGTAATCTGAAATAAATCAGAAAGGGACAAAGGCACATGTATATTAACCAGTCCCTCAGGGCCCGCTTGCTCCTGAAGTGGTAGCAGAGCTTGAGGAGAAGATTGCGGAATAGAGGGCCATTGGGCAGCCATCCATCCAGTAGACAAATGTAAGCAATTATCTGTAGAGCGGCTACAGAGCAGCTGCCGGTTACCCCAGGATGAGGAAACACAGGCAGATGGCATCTCACTGTGTGCCTTGCAGCGAGAAAATTGCTGTCGGCAGCACAATGAACCGTCATGTGGACTGCAACAGAGTGGCTGTTGCTGTTCACAAGAGAAGCCACAAGGGGGTGCCCATTGACCGTGAGATCTGTCCCAAGATGGTGGTGCCCTATCATGTGGCGGAGGGTTGCAACATGGCAACTGTTCCCAGCGCAAGCTGGAACACTCACCTGGTTTGCCAGAAGAGCAAAACTAATGAGATAGAGTGTGGTGAGCAGACGGCAAGAACATTGTAGAGGGCAGAGTGGAGCTGCTGGGAGAGGTATGGGTCCCGGGAGATGGAGAGGAAAACGATCACACAGCAGGAGGTAACTGTAGCGCAGAGGGATTAGAGCTGCCAAGAGAATCAGGGATGGGGGAAGGGAGGGCAATCCCACTGCGGGAGGTAACAACAAGGAACGACTTTGGGGGTAGGCAGGTGGCGGCTGAGGAAAGATCAGGGGGTACCTCGTCGAGCAAATCCTGGCAGCAGGAAACAGTTTGTGTTGCAGCAGAGCTAGCTAAAAGTATTTGGGTGGGAGTACAAGACTTACTGAGAGATGGGCGTGTTCTCAGAACAAGGAAAGCCTCAATGTATGGGAGTTCTATTAACCTGTCACTGGCCTGACAGAAATTATAAAGGTTTTTGAGAATGCAGGGGTCAAATGTCCCCTCTTTGGGCCAACGGTCGCCATTAAGTGGATAGGTTGGCCAGATCTCCTGGCAGTAAAAAGTTAATCGTTTAGTTTTTATGGTACTTTTAATCTTAAGAGTACATAGATTGGAAATTAGGCATTGTAGAGGCGTCTTTTGGGAGTTAGAAAACACGCTTCCCATGACTGATTCAGGCAAGAAATGAGCCGTGGACTGAAGGACAAGCCATCACTCGTTCTGTGGTACCACATGGCAGGTAAGGTTCCAAAAACTTGTATATTCCAGTCGTCACTGAGAGATTTACGAGTGGAGTCCACATGGGGTCAGTAACAGTTCTGCCCATGAGAGCACGAGGCTCTAAGGGAAGTGAGGGCCTCCCAGTGTGGGTGGTCCAGAAAGCTCTGCTTTGGGCTATCTGAACACAAAGGATGTGAGAGATTTGTGGATGCAGGTTTGCCCAGAAAGACCCTGTCCTGGGCTGTCTTAAGGACATGAAAGCATCACAGAACCACGCAAACGGGGAGAAAACTCGCCTGGGACGGAGCCCATTGCCAAGAATTCTCTGGAGTGTGCTCACCTGAAATTAATTGGGCCGGTGTTGAGTGCGGGTGGGCGGTGACAGGTCAAGTGGATCCCGGGAGAGGAAAGCGGCAGGATGTAATCCGGTTCACGAATTGGCTGCAGACTCCACTGGGACTCGAAATGGGTGTGTCGAGTCAATGGCCTCCCGATCAAGTCATGGCACCAAATGATAGGATTATTTCCAAAAGATGTGAAGTATAAAACAAAAGAGGCCTTTATTCTGAGAACATGGAGAGAGAGAACCGACACCCCCCAACCGCTGGAGTCCGGCTTTCTCTCTGGCAGACATGTGGCATGGCGGGTATATAAGTAGCCTAAGCTTAGGATAGTGCCCTAGGGCCATTAGAGATGCATAGGTATCTCATTGGCACATGTTTGGCACCAGGGGTGGATTCCTAAAGGTGGGGGGAGATAGAGTCACAGGTAAATCCCTACGGGCGGGGGAGATAGGAGCTTCCTGGTTCTTGCTGAGGCTTTCCTGGCTACAGTGTCCTGTCTGGGCCAAAACCCTTTTATTAACTGGATCCCAGTTGATCTCTAGTTGAGTGTAAACTGAAAAATCTAAATGTCTAACTCTGAAATACTTAAAATATCCAAAAGTGTGTATATGGTCATTTATGTGGTAATAGTCGAACGTGGAAGCCTAAGGAAGCAGTCAGGGATGAAGTTCTAATCATGGAAGATTGGGAAACCTAACAGTAAAGTGAATCATGGGGAACAGCTGAGCTGGAGATGGACCTCACATCAGGGCTACAGCAAGGTCAGCCCCGAGAATGTGGAGTACCAGAGGTGAACAAGTCACTGGGACTCGAGCAAAGCCAGTGAACAAATTGATCTCCAACTCAATGGCATATCAGCAGGCATCTGGTCTTGTAATCCACAAAGGAGCCCCCCAGAGCCCCCAACCTCAAGTCCAAAAATGGGGCAAGACATGTTTTTTTTTTAAAAAGCAGCGCTGATTTATTTTATTCTCGGCCCAGCAACACAGTGCAGTTAGAGTTTGCAAAAGCTGTGTGTCTCCCTCAAAACTTTCCAGACTTTTTGTAGAAAGCACAGTTTACAAAGTAAGGGGCTATGGGTGTGGATCAGGAAATCTGCTAAGGAATGAGGAAGACCTTTGTTTCCCTTTGCAGAGGACAGAGAAGTCTAGCAGGAATTCACAATCCTTTGTCAACTTATTTTAGCACAATATCTGTTTTTTGTAGAGGGCAGCAATGGTTAATATATCAATTAGGTCAGGTTCCCAGGGATTTACAGTTCTTTACAGAGGGGAGCATTGATTAATATTTCAATTAGGTCACCCAGAAAAAAAAAACATACAGAACAGTATGGTGGCGTTATATGTACTCTGGTCTTATAACTTAGCATAACACAAACATAACAAAGCTCTTTTTGCTAGTGTACAGCATCTGGCCTTGATGTTCCTCTCTGATAACTACACAGAGAGCTCTGGAAACATTTCATTTTCCATGTTCTCACCAAAACACTGAGACTTTGCATTTTAGACTCTGTCATTCACTTTCCCCCTTTATACTGTGTATAAAGATGTAGACCATGCTGGGTTGTTGCTGCCTCTCCAGAGTCACATCACACCCCTTTTATTGTGTGTCTTGTCTTAATCTCCAGTCACCCCACCTCAGAACCAGGCAGGCAATGTGGGTTGCTGCAGTGAATAATACTGACAGAGGGGAATGAAACTCCTGACCTACTATGTCCAGTATGAATTCATGTTCTCTAAAACCGAATAATGAATTTTAGGAACTACGTAGGTTAAGTGTAGAATGTATTTATTGAGAGAAACAGATTTCTGTCTGAGGGAGACAGAAGTCCCAAGAAGGTAGGGACTTTTACAGAGTAAAATCATGAGGTTTCTTCACCCTGAAGAAAACCTGGGAACTCACAAGGTGGGCAAAAGGTGGGACAGAACTGTGGTTAACCAGTAAGATTAATTGCTCCAGTAAAATTGATTAAATCAGGTACACATAGGAAAGCGAGTCATGTAGAAAGTGGGCACTCTTAAGAAGCAGTAACTCTTCCCTAGAGGGTTGGGATAGTGGCTTCTGGCTTTCTCAGGGTGACAGAGACCTATTTAGAATATCAGTCCTTAGGGTATGGGTGCATTTGTTTGATCCTTTGTCTTGAGGCCTGGCCCACAGCAGGAGGTGTCTGTCTCTCCAACAGTTGCAAGGTATCTGGGCTTCTGCACTGGCTCCTCTGGGGACATAGACCTGTCTGCCTGTAATATTTCCATCTAATTCAGTTGCCTGCAACAGTACCTCCTCTAAGATTGAGAGTATTTTACAGCATGTAGAGTACTTACACACATTAGGCTACCACAGTGTCAGTTTCACAAGATAATTATATGATCTGTATTCATATCACACAGTAACTGGCAAGCGTAGGTCTTGAATCCAAGTCATCTAGTATTGCTCAGGGTTTTTTTCCCCTTGCACAGGCTATGGTAGAAGGATTTTAAAACATTTTTTACTTTGTGTCCACTCCAATTTCCCCCTTTCTTTTCCTCCTTCTCTTCCCTCTCCATTCATTTCTCTCTGCTTAACTTCTGCTCCTTTATTTTCTTGGTGGCCACTTCTTTCTGACACACTAGTTAGTAATCTCATCATTTTAAAAAAGGACCATGGTGTCCCCCCTCCATTGAGCTATACTTCGACAGCCTCCTTTATCTTGAGCCTGCTGTGATGGCTCAACTCTTTTATAACAGACCTACAGCTTCTGCACCAGCTTCACCCTGAAGACATTTAAATAATTAACTTCCTTTACTCTCCTTTGTGCATTTTATCTCTACATCACCCAAAATAGCTGGTGGCATTTCTTTTGCATAAATAGAAAGCAGAAAGGTTAACTGGCACTCATATATATATATATATATATATATATATATATATATATATATTTCCTTTTTTTTTCCTAGGAAAATAGCAGAGTCCCTTTATTCTCTCACAGCTGCTACAGTTTTAGCCTTGACCTAATTTTCTTGCCTTCTTGCATTTTGGATCGTTATTAATTCCTACTCTGAAGTGGCCTAAAATTAAGAGTATGTATAGGAGAAAGAATTTCCCTAAAGGTAGTGATATAGGGATATTTTCTATAAATTCTGTTAAATCTTGCTCCCCATCACCACCCCAGTGAACCACAGGAAAGGTAAACTTGAATGAGCTTCTCTTAAAAGGCATGAAACCATGATATAAAATAGTACTTTCCACCTCCTTTTTCTTATAAGCCTGGTGTGGTATAGAGCAAGAATCCCCAGGGATAAGATATTTTCCATCTTCACCTGACTTCTTAGAAACATGTTCTAAGGTGCAGGGCACTGTTCCCTGGAGATGTTAATCTGTTTTGAAAGACAGTAGAGATTCCGAAAATCTACCAGTTTCCTCTTCAGATGCAGCAACTCACTCGAGCATTCTTCTGTTCTAATGTTACAAATACCATTACCAGGAAAACACAAAACTTTCATTAACTTGGAATCTATGAGTGTTCATCCTCTTCCAGACTTACGTGAAGTCTGGTTGGTCATAAAAGGGCTTGGGGGCCTCCAGGGTATCTTTCCTGGGGTGAATTCAGTTTCTCCTTAATGACACACTCCCTTTCCTCTCTTCTTGAGTAACAATTACCATTACATGAATATGTTACACTTACAATATATTTTCACACAATGGGCAGAGAAAATAGATGATTTATTTTGTAGCAATAAAATATATATTTATTATGCATAAAACTCTTCAATGACTCATGAATGATTCTGGGGGATAAGTTATAGAAAGGAATAACTTTGGAAATTTTAATCTAGGTTCTTATATTTAAGTACTTCTCACTTGTCAGTTATGAAAATTTAAAAAGTGCACCAAAAACAGCTTACCCAAGACAGGCATACTGGACTGTCTGCCTGCCCAGCTTGTTGGAGGCCAGAGTCCAGTGATCTTCACAAGCAAGCTGATTACAGTTCCCACAGACTTCCGGTGGCTGGCACTAAACTCTGTTATCCAGCTAGAAATAATAAAGGGTATCTGGTTCCTTTCTCTGAGGCCACCAACAGGGTGATTCAACCTCACTGGAAACACTGAGGGCACCTGTGATGGGAATCCTATCTGGATTCCAAATCTGATCCATAAGGTTATCGCAGAGTATAAATTAAACAACACTTAATGATCAATGACTCCAAGGATAGGCCACCACATGTGTTGCTCTCCCAAGCAGTCATTACTTCTGGCAAAGAACTGAAGATAAAGACAGCAGTTACAGTTATGTACCCCTTTTTCCATCATAAAAATCAGCTTATATGTTTCGTGGATTTCCACTGAAATTTTTCTACTTGACCTGCTTGCTTCTGACAATTGTTTAGTGAGGGTTCTGGACAGGGCGTTCCTTTCCTCTTGCGATGAGTAACTGCTTCTCAAAGTAGAGAAGCTGGTCAACTTCAAAGCAGTCACTGGCTCGAGGTACCACTTTTTCGAGACACTCTCGGATCTCTGTTTCACTGGCATTCTGATGCCTTGCTCTCTTGAGGTAATTATAGACTTCTTCAAATACTTCTTCTCCCAGCTTCTGCATGGCTAATCTGCAAAAAAAAAAAAAAGATCAGGAATTATCAAGAGCTACATGTGGGGAATGTCTGCAAGAAAATGTGTTTTCAAATCACTGATTATACAAATGGTACCCTTGCCCTGAGATTTAGAAAAAAGGGGAAAAAATAAGGCAATATTATCTCATGCTAAACATTAACAATCATTCAAAAATTTGAATGCCAGTTGTGTTTCAAGTATTCTTCCAGGAGCTATGAATATGGCAGCAACAAGTCAGGCAAAGTCTTGCTGTTGTGTGTGTGTGTGTCCAGTTCTCATCACTGCAATGAAATACCTGAGACAGTCTACATATACTGTAAAGACAGGTTTATTTAGCTCACAGTTTTGGAAGCTTTCAGTCCAAATAGCATCAAGCAGACTGTGTGGTGAAGGCTGACGCTGGATCTCATGATCTCATGACCAGGACGATGATGGTGGGAAGGTGTGTGAGAGCAAGCAATTACATCTCGAACCCAAAAGCAGAAGGAGAATAGGTGGACCCATTCTCTTTGCTGTTCTGGTAGCAAATCTCAGAGAACTCCAGGAGTTATACATAAATTTCCTTATGCCCCGGTGACCTCAGGACCTTTCCTGAAGTTCCAGACCCTCCTTCAACCACAATGCACACTCCAAGACATCCAGATCATACCTGCGCCATTTCAGGAATGTGTACACACACATGCATGTGTATGTGCACGTATATAAAGACGTACACAGATGATAAGATGTTAGGTGGTGCTGAACAAAATAGAGAATGAGGGTGGGAGGATAAGAAAATCCTGAGAAGGGGGCATCCTGTGAACAGAAGCCTTTATGACATAAGGAAAATGGAGAACACAAGAGGCGAGAGAATTTGGGCCCTAGTACTAATGTAGGGAAGTATCAAGGCTGGGATGGCTACAGTTAGAAGAAACTAGAGGAAGAGTATGGTGAGATAAGAAGTAACAGCTGCTAAAATAATAATGATGGAAGGGAGAAGGAAAACGAGGTGGAGAAAGTGGCTTTACTGATCATTCTCCAGGCACTTCGCTACCCACTTGATTCTTACAAACTCATTTAACTTTTACAGCTGCCTTGTAAGGGAGGCATTTTCCTAAATCTCTATTTCATAGAAGTAACTAAGGTAACTCAACCAAGTTCTCATCAAGGCCAGCATTCAGGTTTTCATACTCATCTCCATCCTTTTCTGTGCATAGATACAATCTTTGCATTTTCACCAGCAAATTGCCAACCTCATATGTTTATTATATGATCATCTTACTGCATCTCCAGAAAGGGCCACAAACTAACACTAAAACCTGATAAGCAAAACTTGGCCCATGATATCTTTTGTTTAGTCAATATGATGCCTTTTTTTCTTTTACTATTCTTTAACGTTTTAATTATATCCAAACACTTACTTAATCATGTCTCCTCAAAACGTTTAGGTTTCTTTCTCCACCCCTTTTCATTATAGCTTTGTGTGAATACCTTTAGGCGTGCAGCTGTTTTGCTCAGGGGGATATTTCCTGGCATTAGATTTTTAGGAGTGTAGATGGTTACATTGGGATAGTCATGCTGCAAAAATTTACATGGGCCCTTGTGATTTCTGTGCTTTTCTGTTAATGCTTTGTGCTTGGCTAAAAGTGATGGCACATGTAGTCCCAGATGGGAGGAGGAGGGGGAGGAGGAAGGTCATTTGAGCTCATGGGTTTGAGTCTATCCTGGGCAACACAGTGAGATTTGCCAACAGATAGACAGATAAGTGATAGAGATAGATAGATGATAGATAGATAGATAGATAGATAGATAGATAGATAGATAGGATTAACAGGTCAAAATGTATTAGCATTTTTATAATTTTTATCTTGAAGAAATATTTTGATATTCTTCATTTCAATAGATTTGGTAAAAAATATCAGTTTTTTTCCCTCCACAATGTTAAAGCATTAATGTTAAACAGTAATGATGGGGATGTTGACAATGATGCTAAAATCATTTGTCAGAGACTCTTTCCTTCACTCTAAGTTTTAATGGTTCAGTGCTACTCAAACATGCAATCTCTAAAACACAACCTCTGGATGGTCTCTTGTAAGGTATTGTGGCATGGTGAGAAGAGTAATTTTTTCCTGTTCTGCTCCAGAGGCTAGTAATTACAATGCAAGATATACAAATTTTAAATGTTAACTAGTATTTCTTCAGCATTTTAGAGCCTGCAAAGTGCTTAACATTCATTATCTCGAACAATCCTTGTGAACAAGGCAATTCATTGAACATCTGTCTCCATTTATCAGATAAGAGTAAGTAGGTTTCAGTGAATTTTCACAAGCTCACACATGTGGTAAAGTTTGTACTCAAATTAAAGCTGCAGAACTGCAAGTGTCAGAGAGATGAGCAGCCTCAGAGCCCTCGCCTTTCAACTGAAAGGGCTCCCCACCTTCTGTCATGAGATTATCCGACCAATCCCAACATCCCTTAGATACCTGCAGCAATCCAGCTCTTCTTTGTGTTGACATTTACCAAACCTTTTATTCATTATGACTTTAGCAGTTACCCCATTCTCTTCCTTCCATCTTCTGTTCCTGTCACCATTCTTGACCTCATGATTCTTAATGTCTCTGATCTTAGGCTGTATTTTTTCTGCCTAGCACAGATGCATAGTCCTATGATCACACCTGTGATCTCATCAGCCTGAATGACTATCCAACCTCTGACTTCAGTCTTTCTGCTCTTTAACCACCCCTTTATACTCTTCTTCCATGCTTATTCCACCCAAATTATTCCAGCTATTTTTTCACTTCTTGGTGACCATCAGTCTTTTGACCTTATCACTGTGATAATAATCACTCATTTTTCTTATCTCCTCTGTCCTCACTTCCTATTTTCTATGAATTTACATTTCTTGATCCATTATCATCACCAGTATGTTACAAATACTCTTGGATTTTCTCATCTCCTCTCATTTGCCTGACAAAGCCCTAATGGTTAAACCCAGTTATAATCTACTCCATGCTTCTTCCATGGAGGAAAGTATCCAACCATGCCAACATATCTCATGCAAATTGGTGATCACAATTCAAAACGGTGCTCAGTATTGCTCAGCAATCCTATACTTCCCTGGTAGGCTTTTTTTTTCATCTCTTTTGCTTTATTTTTAAGCTTGTTAAGCTTTCATACTTGTTCCTGGCTGATAACTATATCTGATAACCCATGGGAAAACTAGAAATGATCACATAAATCTCTCTCAGCACTCAAACTGCCCACCTGACTGTCAGTGGACTCACACTTAGCCTTCTCTCCAGTCCCAAATGCAGGCATTATTTCGCTTCTATCATACACCAAACTCCACCTGAGTTCTCTAGAGGCTGGCTTCTGCCACCATCTCAGTGATTTTCTCTCCTGCCATTATCCTCTTCCTTTCCTTCGCAATCTTTCTGCCTTAATGGATCTTTCCTGTCAGGAGACCACAAGACCTATTATACCCTATTCCAAGTGTGAAACCTCCTTGATGTCCACATCTCCCACTGCTCAGCTATCAACCATCCTTTCCTCTCTGTTCCTATCAACACTTCGTGAAAGAGTTATGTATAATTTTTTGCACTATGCACTCTCAATCCACTCCTTTTGTGATGGGGCCTCAGTATTTCCTACAATGATATAAGTTACCTCCATATGGCCAGGTCCCGTGTGTGTATGTGTGGTTCTTTAGTTGAGGTAAAATTTACTTTATATAAAATTAATCATTTTAAAGCAGAAAATGCAGTGTTATCCATGCATTCCCAGTACTGTATAACCATCTCCTTTATTTAGTGCCAAAACATCACCATAACTACAATAGGAAAAACCCATATCCTCTAAGAAGTTGTCCTTCAGACTCTCTTCTCATCCTCTGGAAACCACTACCCTACATTTATGCCTCTCTGGATTTACCTTTTCTGGAAATTTATCCTCCAGTTTATCATTATTTATGGCTGAGTAGTACTCCATCACACACATATCACATCTTTTTTTATCCATTCCTCAGCTGATGGGCATTTTGGTTGTTTTCAAGATTTTTTTCCAAGATTACAAATTTTGCTTCTATAAACATGGATGTACATATATCATTGTGGTATGATGTTTTTAATTGTCCTAGGAAGACACCCAGGAGGAGAATAGCTGGATTGAATAGCTAATCTTATCTTTTTAAGGAATCTCCACATTGATTTCCATAGTGTTGCACCTGTCTACACTCCTACCAACAGTAGAGAAGAGTTCTCCATTCTGTCTGGGATAAGATGGAATCTCAGGGCAGACTTTTTAAAAAAAGAAATAGGAAATTAACACTAGTTAATATATTAAATATTGTTATCTTGAAAGTAACTGTTTAGATTACAACATTTAGGCATAAAAATAATTGAACAATCAGACAATGAAAACATAACTTCTTTTTGATGAAAAGAGATTAGTAGTATAGTTATCTTAATTTGTATAATCTTGATGATTTGTTGCATCCTACTTGCCAGTATCTTATTAAGGATTTGTGTCTCTATAAGGAGACTGGATCATAATGTTCTATTTGGCTGAGCTCTTCTCTGGTTCTGGAATCAGGGTAATACTTGTTCCAGCAATGACTGTTCCAGGAATACTGCTTCCTTTTCAATTTCTTTAAGGGGTTTCAGTACTAGTGGCATCAGCTCTTCTCTAAATTTCTTAAAGAATTCAACAATGAATCTTTCAAGGTCTGGGCTTTTCTCTGTCAATAAATTTTTAATGATATTTTTAATTTCATTGGTTGATATCAGGTTATTTAGAGTTCTTATATCTTTTTGATTTAGGTTTGGCAATTGTATTGTGTCTAGGAATCTGTTCATTTCTTCTGTATTTTCCATCATATTAAAACATGGATTTTCATAGTAGGTATTGAAGATCTTCTGAATTTCTGTAAGATTCATTGTGGTTTCTCCCATTTCATCTCCAATTGCTTGAATCTGTGTTTTTTCTTTCCTCTTTTTGATGAGGTTAGTTAATGGGTTAT